TCAGGCACTAAAAGACCATGAGGACTTTCCCCTGGAAATTTATAATGTTACATGTTTCAATGATTTTCACAACCACCCTGCAGTTGGTGATCTAGATCTCATTGGTAAGAGTTTAGTAATATAATAATTCTTATACATGTAACTTTATAATAAACTCAAATCATATAACTGCATCTACATGTGGTCACCTAATTGTTTTTCTATTTCTTATTTTTAGATATAATTGGTGTGTACGATCCCCATGACAAATTCAATAAGCATTACACCGAGGCAGGATCAACATACACTAACTTTTATATTCGGGACATCCAGTTAAGTATATCAAAATGGCACCCTTTCCAATTGTATGTTATTAAGATTATCTATATTTATCTCTCATGCTCATTTTCACGCTTATCTTCTTCCTTTATAGGAATAAGAGGCTCTTTTTCACTTTATGGAATGTGTATGTTGACCAGTTTGATACGTACTTTTCTCAACCGAGAGCATATCCAGTTGTTATCTTGCTACAGATGTGCCGCATCAATCCAAAATATGGTTAATTACATTCATCTATTGCTTAGAATTCAACATTATTTTTACCTGTATAGTTTATCAGTTGGTATAAAACATATGCAAATATATGGATGTTCTAGGCGGATGTTCCTCAAACGGTGTAGCTACATCTTACCATGTGACAAAACTTCTTCTAGATGCACATGTCCCAGAAATAGAAGATTTTCGGCTTAGGTAACCTGCTATCAAAAACAGTTTTGTATTAGTTGGGACTTCCGACATGTATTAGTCTGAAGTCTATTCTAGAACCATGTCAAGTTAAAAATGTACTACAAATTTTCTTTTGGTAATAGGTATCTGGAAGCCACCCGTAACAGTTCTCAAACAACAAGTCACAGTTCCTCTTCTGGTCCTGTAACTGTTGTCTGTTGGTAGCGGTACAAAAATTGGCTTCACAATGCCATTGTCTGAATTAGGGAAAGCAGTAGAGGTAAACCAAAATACATTTTTAACTTTTTATTCTACTTTGAAATGAAATTTGTACAACTTATTGAAATTAGAATAAACATTAATCCCTTAAAAAGTAATAAATCATTATAAGCTCTGTTTTTTGAGTATGTATACCGATGTGCATATAATACATAAATTTACCCGTTGAAATTGTGCCTATAGCTAATGTGTACACTTTTATGTGATAATAGGTTCGTGGTTGCTGGTTCTACGGTCAAATAAGTTCCATAACAAGTCATTTCACTTGGGCTTATCTTGGCTGTAAAATGGCCAAATGTTATAAAAAATTGAACAAGGCTGGGAGTGGAGAATTAGTATGCGACAATTGTGGGATTCAAGTTGTTGATGGTGAGGGTGTTTGGAGATACAATTTAAGACTCAAGTGTAACCATAACAATAGTATGCAAATTTGGTTTTCCGGGATGCTTTGTGCAATCGTTTGATTGGAAAATCTGCTGGAGATTTCCCCAGTCATTACTATGACATGGTAATGTTGCGACACACTATCCTTATTCTTCACAATTTTGAATCATAATAAATGCATATCCCTTTGATTTTATATTAGATTTAGTAATATGAATAAATTTGACTTGAATATGTGCAATTGCTCTGCATGTGTAGGAGAGGCTGTCACCTTCGGGCTGCCCAGATGAAATAAAGAGTTGGTAGGTTGTGAGTTTGTCTTTAAAGTTGACCGTCAATCAGGCTCCACTTTAAACGGAAAGAGTTATTCCATTGGTATGGTCTCAACTGATCAAGATAAAATTGATGAGCTTAAGTCTGTTGGAGCCAATCAGTCTGACAGATAGGTACAATTCTCTGTAATCTTAGGCTGACCATGTTACACAAGATGTTCATTTAGATGATAAACAGCTCTTTCAATGAATGGTATTGAGAAGCAGAATTGGCATTTAAATTTGAAATCTAATTCTCATTACAACGACAGCCATAATTTGTCACTCATTTATTTATTTGAAAAATATAAGTTTATTAGCACAAAAAATGTGAGCTAAAAGATAATAACTGAATATTAATTGCCATATATATCTATCCGTAATCAACAAATTATGATTACTTTAGGACTGAATAGGGACTGAATTGAAAAATTGAGATCCACGATCTGTCTTAGTTAAAGCTTAATTCTTGTGAAAAAAATATGGTATAAGGCCTGTAAAATACTATCCAAGTGTTTAAAATTGTTTTTGATAGGATATCAATACACTTTAAAAACATGAAGCACCCAAATGACAAACTGCATTTAGCACAACCAAGCTTCTATAGAACTAGATACCCAGAATGAAAACTTCTCTTTTCATTATTTCAATGTAAGTAAATCAAACTTTTCCGACATCAAATTGCCACCACTGACCAATTAGTTATCTAACCACATACTGAATAGGTATCAAATGACATATTCAGATGTTAGATTCAATGAATATTCTTGGCAAAGATTCCTGAAAGACTGATTGTTATTTTTATAATAATTTAATGAATGTTTTCTAGAGCAGGATTATTGATTATTCAATGCTCTTATAATTTAATGAATGTATTCTGTGATGAGGATCTTAATGTGAATTTCATTTGTGGATGTTCAAGACTATAACTCTGATGAGGATCTTGATAAACTTTTTTCTTCTCCGGCCACGGTTGAATCTAACATAGTAAGTACTTATTGTTTATTTATCCAAATATGTTTCACTGATCACTTCTAATTCAAAAATGTTTGCATGTAGACACGGAGGACGACATAATAATACAAACAACCCCTTCTTCAACATCAAAGAGGGCTTCAACCAGTGAACAACATGTTGACTCTTCTGCACAGAGTTCAACAAATAAGAAATTCAAGGGCATCAAAATTGAAAAGCCAGATGCTTGAGCCCATCTTCTCTTTTAATGAGTTCTTTTACTTTTTGGAATTGATGTTATTTATTTTGTGTTTTAGTATGTTAGCTTCTATTTCGTACACTAGGTATCAATAAGCCAAGCTAGACTGGCATCATTCTTTTCATTCATGTACTACGTATTATTTTCAGGCATTGCTGCTGGATTTTAATTACGTACATTTCGTGCATTGAACTATAAGTCATTTCTTAATTATAAATTATATTGTTCTACTCTTCTTGAAATTGCTTTATATATTAATCATGTTATATTATCTGTATTTATCTTTCATGATTACTGTATTTAACTATATAGTAGAAGCGTGAAAATGAGCGTGAAAGACAGAATATAGATAATAAAATTATAGAGTTGTATTGCATTTCCCTACCCCTTTCGAAATAAAATTATTTATATTAATAATAGTAGTAGTAATAATAATAATAATAATAATAATAATAATAATAATAATAATAATAATAATAATAATAATAATAATAATAATAATAATAATAATAATAATAATAATAATAATAATAATAATAATAATAATAATAATAATAATAATAATAATAATAATAATAATAATAATAATAATAATAATAATAATAATAATAATAATAATAATAATAATAATAATAATAATAATAATAATAATAATAATAATAATAATAATAATAATAATAATAATAATAATAATAATAATAATAATAATAATAATAATAATAATAATAATAATAATAATAATAATAATAATAATAATAATAATAATAATAATAATGATGATAATGATAATGATAATAAAACCATTGGCCAACTTATTTATTTTAACATCCATTATATCAATAAAAATAAGCAAAATGCCTTTCAATCATTTAATGATTACCTAGCTTAAGCAGTTAAGCCTATTAGCCGTATTAGGCCATTAAATGAAACCCTAGCTTCAACTTATTAGACAATATATAGGAACATACGTAATTGAGGTATTGAAAAAACTCAAATGAGTCTTTGGATACGCTTCTAGGAGGTGGGCTATACATCACACCCCATGATCACAAGAAGTCAACCGAGATATCCTCGACATGAAGACGACTATTACATTTATGATTTATCCAGTTGTTGCGAACCTCGATTCTCCACACAAACTTGATGCGGCCCTCCAGCGTTACAAGTCTTCTCGCCCGGAAGCAAAGACCTATCAACACTATCTCCGAAAGGCAATTCAATTTCATAACAGATATAACAGATCCATTTAAGCTACAGTCGGATCCCCTTTAAGAACTTCAATTGCTAAATTCCTATATTTTTATTACTGCTTTCATTTGTACGTTGTTATCTTGTAACCTCAACTTTCACTTTTTTAATAAATTTGGTTAGTGTTCCCCGACACTACCGCCACCACGTGTGGTTAACTCCGGGACAAAAAAAAACGAAATGCGAGGACTCAACTTCAACATCTACTTTGTTAAAAAATGCAACATAGACCCCTATATAAAAATGAAGGCTAAAGGGTCAAATAGGCCCTTGAACTAGCTTAAAGTGTTCAATTAGCCCCTTATATAAGAGGTTCAGCCCGGCCATCGCCAATTGGGGAGGTTCCCGGTGGAATTTTTTGATGAATTTTTTTGAGCATCTTCTTCATTAAGTCTAGTTTACCCATATCAAATTTAATCTAAAAATTAAATCGGGAAGGCAGTCAAATGATTTTCTGAAATGTACTGCGCTGTTTAACTGCGCAGTTATCTTCAAAAAATCAATTGACTGCCTTCCCGATTGAATTTTTAGCCAAAATTTGGTATGGATAAACTAGACTTAATGAAGAAGATACTCAAAAATTTCCACTGGGAACCTCCCCAATTGGCGATGACCGGGCTGAACCTCCTATATAAGGGGCTAATTGAACACTTTAAGCTAGTTCAAGGCAGGGTTGGATTCGGGCCTAGGCCCGACGGGTTTTCTGGGATTGGGCCTGAGACCAGTCCGGGTATCCACCAGGTCCGAGCCAGGCCGGGCCTATATATATATATATATATATATATATATATATATATATATATATTTGCTTTTTCTAGTTAACCCCAGACGAACCCCCCGTCACCCCCACCCCCCAAACCTGCCCAAATGGCCCAAAATACCCAGCCCAACCCGGAAAGTTAAAAAAAATAAAAAAAAAATAGAATTAAGCCCAAACCGGGCCCGGAACCAGCCGGGCCGGTTCCATTTTCCCCATACCCGTACCCGGTTCAAATGCTACCCTCCCTAAACCTGGCCAATGACCCGAAACCGGTACCCGGTTCCCGGGCCGGGCTGGGTGGCCCGAACCGGGGCCGTCACTAGTTCAAGGGCCTATTTGAGCCTTTAGCCTAAAAATGAATTCAACCAGTCTACGAGTACTTTTCCGTACTTTTCACTATATAAAAATATATTAGTCATTTATGTTAATAGTGGTATGGTGTTTATAGCTCATGACACTTGCTAAAGCAAGAACGCGTTGTAACAAAATGTATTTTATTTATTTTATTCATTAGACTGATCTAGTAAGACTCAACTATAAATAAACCATCAATTTAAATTTCAATGGCTTGTCTATGTATTCTTCCAAACGTTTACTAATATCTTCAAACTATCTGATAGAAATTGTTCTGTAATATGATATTACCTCCGCTACGATAAAATTTGTCAACTTCATATTTGGTGAGAAATAAGAAAAGTAAAAGTTTTATGGTTGAGGTTTGTGTAGGGGAGAGAGAAATGAGCAGAACCACAAATAACAAGAGCAGAACAAATTCAAATTGATGCAATTCCTCGTAAGTGTGAGATGATCCCGCATTGATAAAAGATTATGCAATGATAAATTAATATGGAAAAGGCTCGTTTCCTAATTCTTGTGCCACACCGTTTTCTCTGTAATTTTTATATATTTGATTAGTTGATCTATATATTCAAGTAACTCAGGTTCAAATTTGGGAAGAACCGATGGTTCTTTTCTAAACTCAGGTTCTGAGAAGGTCAATACATAAATACGCTACTGATGACAAGTTTTTTCTCCTTCTGGCGCAGTTATCTTCAACAAATTATTTGACTACCTTCCCCATCGAATTTTTAGCTGAATTTTTTTGTGGATAAACTAGACTTGATGAGGAACATTCCATAAAAATTTCATAAAAAAAAAACCCACCGGGAACCGCCCCAAACGGAGGCGGCCGGACGGAGGATCCTGTCCCTCCGGCTGGACAGGATCATTCCTCTCTCTCTCTCTCTCTCTCTCTCTCTCTCTCTATATATATATATATATATATATATATATATATATATATATATATTCAAGTAACTATATTCTGAGCAAATGTGGGGGTTAAATTCACGTGTCTCACAGAGGCCGCAGCAGAGGGTAATCTTCTAGAAGTTCTCGCTCTGATAATGTGTCATTTTCATTTTGTGGGGTCCATAGAACCTCCACTGCCTGCACAAGGGTGATTAAGAATCACTAAAAAGTGAGCGAAAGTAGATCCTCATTCCTCAATGTGTGTTCGAAGCATACCAGTGTTCGGCTTGAGGGAATAGAGGCAATTTTATGTAGAGCTTCTTTCAGATCTCCACTGCCATTAACACTAGGCAGCTTATATGAACCTTTCGCAGCCACTAAGATAGTCACCTGACCAACAAAACTAGTAAGTACAAATAAGATGTATACCCTCTAATGTGCCTTTTCTGCACGAAAAAGTAAATTATCAATTTTAGTGCTTACCACAATATATTCATTACTAAATGCACTTGCACTCTTGCTTGTTGAACTTTTCCTTTTAATCTTATTCACATTAACAAGTGTTTCTTCATCAAATTTACCTCGTTCCTCAATTGAAAGCTGATTGAATAGTTTTTCACCATGTTCCATGCTCTTCATTATATCAACCTGTGTACGTAAAAGGAAATATCATATTTGGGCTGTCAATTATTCTAGGTTAGACATCTGTGGTTCTCGTCTTTAACTATTTTTTCATTTCTTTTTTTCCTAACTGATTCCCCAATTTCATAAGTGATGATGTTAGAAATCTCTTTATACTACCTGGAAACTTAAAGCCATTAAAAGCTTGGGTTCAAAGCATAATTTTGAGATTCCACACTTTCTAACAGTTTGCCATCAGAACATGGACGATAATCTAGCTATTCACCTAGTGAGTAGTGATATGAGACATATCCACAGTACACGATAATTGAGAGTACATACTTACAAACTATAAGAATTGACTTTGTTATTTGACTTGAAAGGTGAAACCATTTATTAGTGTAGAATTTCAAAATCATACCATTCTACGAATTAATTGTAACTTTAACAACCTCGATTCCCACTGTTATTAATAAAATATTGGGCCTCTTTCAATGTGTTGATATGTATGAACACAATAATGATAAAGGATGAAAGGGTGCCATTTGATCTTACGAAGTGCCTCAAAAACAATTCTCTCTACTCAAACACAAGAACTGATTATTTATGTGCAAGTAAGAGATTCAAAAGATTTTGTACTTCATTTTAAATTCACTCATTGTAAAGTTTTACTGGTTTATCTTAAAACCATTATAAATTGTTGGTTGACCCCTTTGTAAAACCAATGGTAGGTCCGTAAGAGGTTGGTGGTTATTCCTCTTGAAAACAATTCTTTTGATAACGCTGGAGTCTAGGACAATTTGGCCCAAATAATCTCACACTTGCAGGCCCTTAAATTTATAACTAGGCAAACATCCAGTGTCCCTTCGGGGAGGTTCAAACTAGCTGCCTCAAATAACAAGTAGTCACTGTGTTCATCGCAACTGAAAACACCCTCAGAATTTTAGAATTGAGATTATTGGTTGATGCTCTTTAAAACCAGTTTTAAGTTCGGTTCACCTTTGAAAAACTCTTTAAACAATTATTGTAAAGGGTTTGATTGTCACAGTTAGGATGTTTTTACTTGGACTGTAATTTGTCCCAGACCAGACCAGTCCAGACCAGACCAGTTCAGACCAGACCAGACTTGGATAGTTATAAAAATACAAAGAAACCAGACCTTACCAGACCAGTTCAGACCAGACCAGACCAACAAATTACAGTCCAAGTAAAAACATCCTTAGGGTTGAGGTGCTTTTTTGGGAGTTTTCTAGTTTTATTCTTTGAAGTTTGAACCAATTGTTATCACATACTTCACCATTTTACTCTGTCAAATCCCGCAGCTGACCCAATGTTCAAGATTGTGTATTGCATAGTTCAGGAAGTTTGTAAGGATTATGTACTGCGCAAGCCTCATCTTACCAATGGTAGGTCCGTAAGAGGTTGGTGGTTATTCCTCTTGAAAACAATTCTTTTGATAACGCTGGAGTCTAGGACAATTTGGCCCAAATAATCTCACACACTTGCAGGCCCTTAAATTTATAACTAGGCAAACATCCAGTGTCCCTTCGGGGAGGTTCAAACTAGCTGCCTCAAATAACAATTAGTCACTGTGTTCATCGCAACTGAAAACACCCTCAGAATTTTAGAATTGAGATTATTGGTTGATGCTCTTTAAAACCAGTTTTAAGTTCGGTTCACCTTTGAAAAACTCTTTAAACAATTATTGTAAAGGGTTTGATTGTCACAGTTAGGGTTGAGGTGCTTTTTTGGGAGTTTTCTAGTTTTATTCTTTGAAGTTTGAACCAATTGTTATCACATACTTCACCATTTTACTCTGTCAAATCCCGCAGCTGACCCAATGTTCAAGATTGTGTATTGCATAGTTCAGGAAGTTTGTAAGGATTATGTACTGCGCAAGCCTCATCTTACCATAAAAATGAGGCACAACCAGGCACATGGCTGAGAGAAATTCAAAACAATAAACCTACGCCCAACAGATTCCTTGAGGCATGCAAAACTTTTCTCTCGAGCACCACAATGTGGTCGCCTTAGCCTCCTCACAGTGTTGTGGTAGGTGTTTATGATTCCTCTGGCTGGTGGGATCTAAATTTTCTGCCACATATATCTATATAAGACTTGTTAGACCTGTGTACTTCACATGACTCCACCTCTTCTTTATCGGCAAATAAAATTCTTCATCTGTTCCTTGTCTTCTCTTTGCAGCAGCGTAGCAGGTTTTCTGTTTTACGTCAGATTTTTATCTTTCTTCTCTTCTTTTTCTCTTAATCTCTTAATATATTATCATGGGGCCATCACTACCTCTCCTTTCTGCTAGAGTGCATGCTACTGCTTTCTTCCAGGGGAGTCATTTTAGTAGTTTTCATGCTTCTTAATATGCTTTGCGGTTTTGGATTTTTATGCAGTTCTAAAGCTTCAAATGATTGATAAATACAATCATACTACTACAGTGAGTCGGTGATAGTGTAACACTCCTTAATTAGTTTTACAAACCTTTTATTTCTTCATTTCTCCGTTAAAACGTGTTAGTGTTATATTGTTGTGTTTTCTGCAGAACTTTCTTGTTAACTACTGCTACTCTTACATATCAGTCATCCATTGAGATCTTCTGGTCGTTCTACTTATCTAGCTCTAAATGATAGTTTGTTTCTGTTGTGCTCTATATGGATGTATTTATTGGCATAAAACCAGCAACTCATTGGTAATGAATGTGTTCTACCATAATCATTACTGAACTTTTTTGTTTTGCTGCTTTTGTAGTTTTCTAAGTCATATACAGTTATGTGTTTATGAGTCAGTTACCTAGTTCTGTTTTGATGTCTTCTCTGTGTAATGTAGCAGCTAATTAATGAATTGTTAACTTATCATCAAACTTGATCAATTACGTATCATATACAAGTAGCCATGTTCGTAATGGCATGGGGTAAATAACTGTATACGTAGTACACACTAAGGCGATTTCCAAATTATGCAGTGATAACGCTTACGCATTTTTGGTTACAGCATACGCAATGAGGCAGGATTAAGGCATAGACCATTGCATTTTCAGGTTGTAATTAAATAAAGTGTGCACACTTCCAAAAATAATACATTTTCTTTGATACACCCATATCTCTTCTTCAACAATCACTTTCCTCCTACGAGTCTCCTATAACTCCTCTTTAATGACATTTTATTCTCTTATTTTTTATTTTCCACATCGATAATAGGTTGCACTTCATCATTATGATACGCCCCCGTCAACTTGTAAATGTGTTAGTTCTTTCTTCTTCTGCAAAGTGTCATTTGCCTACTATATTTTCTTTTTCCCGTTAATAATGGATAATGATGGTGAAGAGGATGCTAATGATGTTGTGGATATGCTAGTGATGGTAAATTGGTAATGGGGATAGTGGATTTAATGTTGGGTGGGTTTTGATGACACTGTTTTTCATTCCTCAATCTATATAAACTTTTAGTTCTAATAGGATGCTTGAAAAAATTATTTGAAAGGGATTGTGACTCTATTATTGTTCGTTCTGAACTTGATTTTGTTTACTCCTAATTAATTATTTTTTATTCATGTCATGTGGTTTAACTAAATGATACTATTGGCCGTCACGCGCCTATCACAACACCCTTCTCCTTTATCCTGGCTTGGGACAAACATTATATCCAAAATGATATCATGGCAAAAAATTATTTTTTTATCATAGTAGTATTATTTAAAGTTGTTTTTAGTGTTATTTAGAGTTATTTTAATTGATTTTTACTATTATTTGTACCGAGGCCTACAAACCACCTGTACTATGCATGCAATTTCAAACATTGACAAGTGCTACCTCCATCTCAATATTTTTTAAAGAGACCCATATTAATCTCTTATAGAGTCTAGGGGTATTGGGGTATAACAATAACTACTCATTTTTATGCCACAATACCCCTTACGACTACATAAGGCCATAAGGATCTTCATATAACTACTCAACTCTGTCCCGCTTTAACATTTTCATTAAAAATGAGACGCTTATTTACATAGTAATCAAATAAGATAATTTGAGTATAGCTTGAGAAAGATTATGTGGTTATAAAATAAAGGGGTGATGTACCATAATGGTGATTTATGAGTTTATTAATTTTAATACAACAACATCCAAGTCTTATTTCCAAAAGATTTTGGGGTCGACTAACATGAATTGATTCATGATATCAGAGACAAAAAGCAAAGAAAGATAAAAAGAATAAAAAGATAAAGTAAAATAAAATGGATAACATAAAGGTAAATATAAGTTAAAAATAACATAAGAATATAAGAAAGCTAAAAAGTACAAAGATAAAAGAGCATAAAGAATATAAAAATAACACAAGAACATAGAAAGATAAAGAAGATAAAATATAAAAAAAAGGGCTAAAAGAAAAAGAGGAAGGAACAAGAAAAAGAGATCACCCATACACACGAATATGCGTCCTTCACTTTGCTTTCTCCAAAATCATACTTTCATCAAACTCAAGAAGAAGCATATCAGTTTTGATTCCTCTAATCCAATCTGTTTGGATCTTTCTCTACCTCTCCTCCCCACCTCTTATTCCCGACTCTTAATTCATCTTACAAGTGCATCACTCGATCTTCTGCGCACATGACTAAACCAATGCAATCGAGGCTATTGTATCTTATCTTCTATAGGTGTTACTCTCACCTTTTGTCTAATGATCTCATGTTTCAAACGTTCTTTTTTTATATGTCCGCACATCTAACACAACATACGCATCTCTGCTACACTCATCTTTTGAATGTGACATTGTTTCACTGCCCAACACTTCACCACATACATTAATCAGGCCTAATTGTCATCCGATAAAATTTACCTTCAATCTAGTTTGCATACCTCGGTCACATAGAAATCCTGATGCGCTCTTCCATTTCATCCATCATGCTCTGATTCTATGGAATACATCTTCATCTAATTCATCATCCTTCTGAATTTTGGAAACCAAGTAGCAAAACATATCACACACTTGCTCTGATTCTTAATTTCAATACGTGATGT